TACTGATCTCTGTAACACATTTACCATCATGATACTGGGTGTTCCCAGCCTCCAGGAAATGATAAGTTGGTTGAAAGCCACTCAAGCCTATAGCTTTCTTCAGAGTTCTTACTGTTGGGTTTGGTTTTGTTGTTTTTTTTTTTTTTTGCATTTTATAGTCTACATTGGGCTGAGCCATGCTGCTATATTTGTATGCTTTTTATTTACTCGGTGACCAACAGCTACACAGCCAGATCATTCATGCAGCTGGTACAGCCTAGAGCAAGGGCTCCCTTCTGGTTCCCTTTCTGTTGAGGTGAGTTCCCAGCTGTGCCACAGCTGTTCACGCTTCCTGCCATCTCCAGGTGCACCATGCTCACCTTGCCTGGGTACGGTGAGATGTCCACCTTGTTACTATGCACTGCCCCTGGCTCCCTGTCCCTTAGTGGCCAACTGGGCCTTGCTGCTCCTTGGCAGACTAACTCTGTCCTGACTGGATTTGGGCAGGTTGTGGGATGTAAAAGGACTGATTGAAGGAAACTGAGATAGCAGGGGATTGAGGTGGTCCTGGATTTCTTCATGGCCTACTTGAGTGCATGGAACATGGCTTCATCCTCCCTGGCCACTGGTGAGTCCCCACTAGAACATCAGGCATGTTCATTCAGCTGCTGCATTACCTGTGCTGCTCCTGTAGGAGCTCTGCTTGGACCCTCTCACCTTGGTGGAGGGTCAGCTACCCTCCTAGGCTCCACCTTGTTCAGTTGTAGGTTTGTTTACAGGGCTAATCCCAGTCCAGGATCAAGATTAAAAAGGAGTAAATCAGACAAGATGTGATACTCCTGTGATTTGTTTCACATACTTGCAAGTACTTAGAGACACAACCAAGAATTATGTGTTTGGTTTTGTTACTTTTACCTGGGAATAACTGAAGAGGATTTCTCAAATTTTTGTCTTTTGCAAATCTTGCTATTCAGTGCAGGATTTCTCCATATAATTGTGAGGGGGAAAGTTCATTAAATTAAAATATGGTATGTGCCTGTAGTTGTAGTATAGGTTGTTTGAAGGCTAATTTTCCAGTGATAGATTATCTTATGTAAGGGTTTTAAAATTTAGCAACTTGTTTCCTTTCTCCCTGTAAAAAAACCTCCAATTGATTTCTATTCTAATTTTCTCAATTGTTTTATTTTTCTTCTCTTTCAGTGCACAGGAATTGGAGTCATAAATATACCATAATGTTAATACATTTGTCTCAGAGTTCATGAGGTCAAGCTTGTTGGTCTTCCCATATGACTAAGTGCAAAAATCTGGAATCAACTCAGTTAAGTCTGGGTATAAAATAGCCAGCACTGTAGAACTGCACATCCATAAATCAATAGAGACTAACCTCTGATTTATTTCTTTATGGGTCACATGTTCTACTTCTACCATAAAAGCAGATAAAGGTAACTATAATTAAAATGCCTATTTCCTTCTCTCTTATTCGTGTTAACATTCATGCTATTGAATATACCCCTTTCAGAATACTATATTTTTTCAGTGTTCTACAGTTATTGTTTCATTAAAAATACCCCTGTGATATTAACTGTATAATAAATTACAACTCAAAATAAAATATCAGCCATTTCATCCATGAGAGAGAATAATAAAGCCATAATAAAAGAGTAAAGTTTAGCAATATGATAATGTAGCATGAGGTTTTTATGGCCTCCATGTAAATGCAAAAATCTATAAATTTTTTATATTGTATAAAATTGTAAAAGAAGTAATGAAGGGGGTGAAGAGAGGAGGGAAAAAAAGCAGCATTAGCAGGCTGGTTTAATCATGAAATTGCTGGTTTTCCTGTTTTTACAATATGAACATGTGTATATAAAATTATATGTATGAAAATATTTGTTTGTGGTTTATTTACTACAGGTATTATAAGTAAAATGGAGAAGAAAAACTGAGGGTTTTCACTTTCCAGCCCACAGCACTAATAAGAGAAGAAACTCTACAGCCTAATCGTGTCTCTCTTTGCCTTTCTTTTTTCACACCTAGTATGCCTGTACATGCTATGTCCTTAATTTTCCAACTATGCTTTAAACGACTTCTTTATCTGGCTTCTTTTTATACATGTGGGTTGTCACTGAAGGTAGAAGGATATGCAAATATAGGAAGGAGAGGATAGGACATGAATTCTTCCTTGCGACCATTTTCTTCTTGTTGCATCATCCTTCACTCCACACTGGTGGGATATGCATTTAAAATTTTCATTCTCTTGTAGGCTAGTGATGATCTATTTAATTGTACTAGTGCAATACTTAGTATTTCTTCTGAAAATGATTCCACAAAGCTTTGCAATTCAGTTTAAATAAGACCATCTTAAACCATTTTTTTTTAATTTAAAGGAGAAAAGAGGAAATAAACAGAGTGTATGGATTTATAAGACAGGTTCAAAACAGACACAATTATTGCTTTAAAAACCTGCCATTTTGGAAACTCAACACTGGTCAGCCTTGTTTTCTTGTATTGTGTTGGCCTACAGACAGCACACCAAAATTTACTTGATATCCCCTAGAACATGCTGCCTTGTAAAATATGGGGACGCTTATTGTCCTCTCATTATGGAGATGACTGTTCAAATGACAACTGTCTCACCACTGACAAGAGCTTCATGCATTCTACTTGCATAATCAAGATTTTTGATGGATCTCCAAAAAGGAGGAGAGGAAGTAGAGAGGAAACAAAGCTACACTGGCATAAAATAAGGAACTGAGCATTTGCACTTCTGAAACAAAAAGTTTCTTTCTTCTGTAAACCTAAAGATCTACACATGAAAATGAAGTTTTAGAACAGCAGTAGAGAAAGGACAGTATGGGGCTAGGTGAAGAGATGCTCCAGAGAATGTATCAATATGAGTAATTTCATAATTCAAAAACATTTAAGGACAACTACAGCTTTAATCTCCAAGGTTACAGCTCTGAGACACTATGTAGGATTAGACCCTAGTCAGCTTTCCTCATGCACAGCAGTAGCACTCAACAGTGTAAGACAGAAAACTGAGATAAATATGGGACTTCACAAAAAAGCCTGGGGCGATTTATACAGATGTAAAGTTATTCTTCAAGCTGCAAACCACCCAGAATTACTAAAATTCAACCATGAAGAGCCAAAGAGGAGGAGTTGTGCCTCACCTGTTGAGAAGAAACCTTGGGCAGATTAATTAAACAAGAAAAAAAAAGCATCATCTTTATATCTCCTGCCTTTTCCAATGCCAAGGAGGTGGGCTCTGGAGGAGGCAGCAACTATACTGCAGTTATATGTGGTGTGGAGGAGCTGGATAGGGTTTATTTATTTGCTGTCTCTTCTAATGGAGAAATTAAGAGGCTTAAAAGGAAGAAAGGAGGAGGTAGATTCAAAACAGCCCAAAGAAGGTAGTCTTCAGACAATGGGGAGTTAAACTATGGAATTCCTTGTAGCTGGGTGTGAAGATGCCAAGAATACTGCTACATAATGATCAAACAGGCCGTGAAGCACATCCTTTAAAAAAAAAAAAAGGTGGTCGGAGCATAGAAGAGACCAAAGGATAGCACAAGATGCTCCAAATCAGTAAGAGTCAGGTTGTCTTGGGAGTTGGGAGGTTATTACTGCTAAGCAGCTAATGTCCCTTTGGATATACAGCCCCTGGATAGGCTATAAAGATTAGCCACATCTCACTAATAAATCCTGATCCCATTGCCCTGCTGAATGGTTCTAGAAGATGACAAAACCATAGAATGGGTTGGAAAGGACCTTTAAAAGGTCATCTAGTGCAACCCTCCTGCCATGGGCAGGGACATCTTTCACTAGACCAGATTGCTCAAGGTGGGGAGTAAGATGTTGAAGCAGCCTGAAGTGCTGTGCCATGCCTCTACATGCTGCCTGTGGGAATCTGAGGTTAACCTGAAGTGATGGGGAGCCTGAAGGACAGGCTCCATGATAATCAGCTCAGGGCTTGAGATGGCCCAAGCTACCTGTCAAGAAGCAGCAAGACTGGGGCTGCTCCACACGGAATGAGTCAAAAGCTGAAGATCACAGGAATAATGTCACTGACTAGGGCACAGTACCCAAGCAGGGCAGCCTGCTGACAATAACAGATTCTGTTGACAGCCCCTGTCATCACCAGGTAAATGTGAGATAGCAGGTCAAGTCCAAGTGCAACCCATGAAATCCAGTCAACAGTGCCAGGTACACACCTGCCAGCAACACAGCTGGCACAGGAAAGGGCTGGAGGCCAAGGTCTGACCGTATGTGGAGCTACCCCTGCAGCTATTCTGGCAAGTGTGCACTGGCACCCACCTCTGGCTCCAGGTTAACGCCCGAGCAATGGGGAGAAGGGAACAAACTATGCAACTGCAGGAATGGGTTCAACCATCCTGCACCTTCTAACTGGAGCTTAAAACCCAGGCCAAACATGACTTGAAGGTGTTAGTGTCGATGACCACAGATTGTTTTCACATTCTCTCTCCAGGCCCTTCAGTTGCTCCTCGCTACACCCATTCCCAAAACAGTTGCACAAAGATGTAGGAACACTTTTAAGGGATGGGAAAGGAGCACAAATGCAGGTACAGGCAAGAGAGGTGATCACTTGCCTGCTCCAGATCAACACCTTTTAAACAAAGTATGCTGTCATTTAGAATGGAATGGCAGAAAAAGGGGGTATCATTTAAATCTTAGCTGTACAAATCCACATTTTGTGAATTGAATCAGCCATACTGCACAGTATTAAAATGTGCAATAATTTCCTAGAAAATTACTGCCATTTAACGATGCATTTTTCCAAGGCACGGTAAACAAAAGAACCCCTACAATGGTGGCTCAACCTACCACATGAAAAATTCTAACCTCCTAAGGAGACAGAAGTGTTTTGCTTGTTCTCTGTATTGAGCAACATAAGGCAGCAAAGCAGCACAAGGAAATTCAGATGTCCTGGGTTCTTCATCATCATCACCACAATTAATACTGGTCCCATGTACAAATGAGACACAAAGCTGTTAAAATATAATATGGGAACATAATTTTATTGTGTTAATCTGCATATGTATTGGTACAGCTGTTCTGTGAATGCTTCTGAGGAAAATTTTTCCATAACTCTGAGTCTCCCAGCTGCTCCCATTGTGTCTTTTAAGAGCGGATCTCTCACAATTTTTTCCATGGCCTCGGAGAATTGTGTTGGCAGAGGATCACACAAAAATCCTGTGACATCATGCAAGATTGATTCTAAAGGACCACCTGAATTAACTGCTATAACTGGACATCTCATATACATTGCCTCCAGAGGAACAATGCCAAAATGTTCATTGCTTGGTGTATAAAGCACACACACAGAGTTATGAAAGAGAGATATTTTCTGTTCATCTGAGAATGACCTCAAAAAAGTGACATGGTCCTTAATACTAAGCTTGGCTGCAAGTCTCCTCAGCTCTTCATAGTGCTCCACGTTTTCCAGAACTTGTTTATCATAACCACCTGCCACAACCAGGTGAACTTCATTCCACTCATGAGAATCAAGTCTTCCTCGAAGCTCATGCAAAGCTTCCAGCGCCAACACTAGATTCTTTTTTCTCTCATACCTATTAATGGAAAGAAACAAGAACTTCTTTTTTGGTATCAGGTCAGCTACGTCTGCAGGAACGATTTGTTCAAAGCTGCTGATGTTGAGCGACGGGTAGAGGACATCTGGATTTATGTGGGACAAGGACTTAAAGGTGTCCCTGAACACGCGGGCGGTGAAGCGGCTGTTGACGACGATGCAGTCTGCCATGCCCGTGGTGTACTCCTCCAGCCAGTCCAGCGGCAGCCTGTAGAGGCGCTTCAGGAGGGACTCCCTCTGCGTCAGCAGCTGATCAGGAAAGTGACAGTAGAACAAAACCTTCTTACGGGTTCTGGCCAGCCTCAGCACAGGAATGCACGCAGACACCTAGTGCAATCAAGAGAAAACGTTCATTATTTGTGTTAGAGCTGCTGGTGTAACACGTGATTCCAAAGCCCTGCCCTGAGACAGTCCTTTGCCAGCCAGGTGCCTTCTCCCCTTGTCCAGAACCTCTTGCTGCAGCTCTAGGCTTCCTCCTTCACCTCAGCCTTTGAGGCTGCCAAGACCCATCCCCACACAGGCCCCACCAAGCACTGGGATTTCATAGAATCACAATGTTTTGGGTAGGAAAGGACCTTTAAAAGTCATTCAATCCAACATCCCTGCAGTGAGCAGGGACATTTTCAGTGGCTCAGAGCTCCATCCAACCTGACCTCAGCAGAATCATTAAGATCGGAAAAGACCTCTAACATCATCAAGTCCACACATCAACCCAACACTACCAGGGCCACTAAAATTGTGTCCTGAGGTGCCACATCCACACGTTTTTTGAACCCCTCCAGGGATGAGGACTCCCCCACTTCCCTGGGCAGCCTGGTCCAATGCCTCACTTTTTCAGCAAAGAAATTTTTCCTAATATCCAATCTAAACCTCCACTGGTACAACTTAAGCCTATTTCCTCTTGTCCTATTGCTTGTTACTTGGGAGAAGAGACCAACACCCACCTCACTCCAACCTCCTTTAAGGGAGTTGTAGAAATTGAGAAGGTCTCCCCTGTGCCTCCTCTCCTCCAAGCTGAGCAACCCCAGTTTCCTCAGCCACTCCTCACAAGACATGTTCCTCAGCCCCTTCCCCCGCCCTTCTCTGGACCCACTCCAGCACCTGAATGTCCTTCTTCTACTGGGGCGCCCCAAACTGATGGTGCTTCTCCCACCTCTGCGCAACCCGCTGCAGTGTTCCACCACCCACGCTGTAAAACGTTTCTTCCTTCTATCTAGCGTAAGCCAGCCCCCTACTCAACTCAACGCACCTCCTCTTGCCGAGGCGCTCGTGGCAGCCACCTCCCCTCTCTCCTGGCCTCCCT